GAAGGAAGGAAGGAACCCTTATACATTGGATGGAATTCCTGCTTTTAAATAAATACCTTCTGTAGGTATCAGGTGAATCTTTGAAGAATGTCTCCTACGTATACTGTAATTCCAATACTTTCTGCTAATGCTATTAAATTTAGAGTGACAGGATGTTTCTAAAAAAATCTCTCAACAATCTGCTATAGGAGGTTCTCCAGAGAAAACTGAAAGCCCATTCCCAATGAAGAGCTACATGTGCTTAATACAACTTGTTTGAATAAGCCCTTTTGATTGTACTTGGACTTCTATTCATTGAAAATCAGGACATCAAAAGCAGACATCAAGAGGGTGTCCTAATTTCCATCCACAAATCTGCTTCAGTTTATTGTGCATGTAGCAGAAAGATAAATTCAAGATGAAACAGGTAATGAAGAGGTTATTTTAAGCAACAAATTGGCTATACAACATTGATGGAAACACTTTTCACCTTCAAGGAAGGACAGGGACTGAAATATTACATTCATCAAGAATTGGCAAAATCTTTTGAAAAGACAGAGAGAATGAAATGAAGTTTTGGGGGGAAATTAAATAGATCTGAGAGAGTCAACTCATAATCTATGTACTGGACAGTTGGGGCCCAAGAAGATTGCAGTCAAAAATGGACTATTATGAAATTAGACGACCACTTAACGTGGTAAAAGACTTAGAATGACACTCCCACACACACATGATTTAGAGCCTATGGGGACCTAGATTTGATAAAACACCTGGGGGACATGGCACAAATACATTAGAATAACACATTTAATATTATTACAATAACTCATTTTCTTTTCCCAGTTGTCATCACAAGTAAAACAAATTGAAACATTTCTGTGTTGCTTTGATCCAGCTGAATAGAAGTACTAAAGGACAAGCACATTCCTTCCAAATGTGGAACATGCACTTCAGGATCTAGGCAAAACTGAAATGCTTTGATGCCAAGAATAGATTTTGACAAATACCACTGACTGAAAGTTCCACAATGCTAACTACATTTGTCACCTCCCTTGGGTGCTACTGTTTCCAAAGGCTATCCTTGGGTACCTGAGCTCCTGAATATGTTCTAAAGAGGATGACCCATTTTTGATCCTCTGCTCCAGGAGTTCCTCTGAAATAGCATCTACGTCCACTATGACCAGTCTTAAAACAGCTCCAAAAGGCTAATGATAACACTCAGCATGGAAATACAGTATGTATTTATGGTGTCCAAAGTGTGTGTTTTCCTGGGCATGTAGCTGATGGAGAGGATATCCTTTTTGATTTAGAAAAAGCAAAGGCAAATTTTTAGCTCACTAATCAACTGTGAGAATCTGTGAGTTTTTGGGAACAGTAAATTCTCTGGTGTATTATCATTTATATAATTTCTAAGACTCATGGACATCACTTCTCACATCTTAAAAGCCCATTGAATATTAGATTGTTTGGGATCCCATGAGCAAAAAAAGTAATGAAATTCTCTCTTACTGCGACACCTACTCTAATGGTGCTTGGTCAAACATGAACAATCATTTCAGCAGACACCTCATCCTATGGATCAGAAACATAGGATGTAACAAGAACAAGATGATGGCAAACTTTGAATTGTTTGTCAATGGCAGAAAAATGCTAAAACATGGATGGAAGAAAAAACTCTGGCAATTCGATGGACATGTGGTTTAACAATCAGTTTTATTTGGAGAGTGAAACAAATTATAAAGCATTAGGTCCTATATAGCCTACCAAAAGGTTGGATGTTCTGAAATGTAACTTACAACATGTTAGACAATCCATATATGCATCATCCATGAAACTGTGAGAGTTGCAGATGCCCTCTCCAGGCAGCCACTAGCAGAATGTAGAATGGAGTTCAAGATCAGGAACCAAGATCTCACATTCAGTTCACTTTTATTCCCTTCATTATTATCCTCCCAGCACTGAATATCAAATTGTGTTAAATTTTGTTGCACCAGTAACAAGATGCAGCTTTGCATGGGGCTACAAAGAAGCCCGAGCGGGAGATATAGATTGGATCCGGAATGCCAGGAATTCTGGCAAGTGTGCTACAGAATTGCTGCTCAAAATAGATCACTGATGAGAGGGACTTGCCTAATCTTTCCATTTTAAATCCATTCGGAGATTGTCACTGTATTCATAGAATCACAGAATTGTGAAGCTGGAAGGGATCTATAAGACCATCAAGTCCAACCCCTGCTCGATGCAGGAATACAAATTAAAGGATATCTTCCAGGTGGTTGTTTAGGTTTCTCTTGAATGCCTTCAGTGTTGGAGCGCTCGTCACCTCTCAAGGTAATTGGTTCCACTGCCTTACTGCTTGAACAGTTCCTAAGGATTTCCTGATATTCAACCGAAATCTGGCTTCCTGTAACTTCATGGTAAATGCTATCATGATATCAATTCAAAAAATGCTAAACACAGTCAAGAGAATCAATATGGTGACTCAGAAGAGATAGTGAAAAAGATCCCTGATGTGTATTTCTACTATCCACCACCATAAAACTATTATTCACCACAAACAATGACTGACAGCAGAATTTCCAATGGGCCATGAAAAATATTGGCACTAGTCCTTTTTTTCATTTTTGACAGCCTAGTACTTCCTGAATACAAATTATGAGCCTGTTCTCTGGTGCTTGGCAAACAACAGAACCTAAATCCATGTTTGCTAGATATGGCATTCTTGAGCCATGGCAGTGTTGAGCCAGCTCAGTGTCATAATGGACCTAAGTTTCTATCTCTGAAGACAGTGGAATCTCAGAAGCTTGCAAACCAATATAGACGTCACCACCAGACATCCAGTTCCCTGAGGCCAATGGATTCATGGACCCAGCTATCAGCATCTACTAAAGTAGATGGCAAATCCGCATGTGGTCCTGATGGAAAACACAGTGTCTCCTCTTTCTAATAGACATTACCTTGCAGAGCTGTCAATGGGAATCCATACATGAACAACTCTACCAAGATCCCTCCACCAGAAAGCAGACCTGGGAAGACTGGTGAAGTGGGGGAAAATACAAAGGGGGGGGGGAAGAGAAATTATCATGATGCCCAATAATGGGAAAGCTTGCAGATCAAAAGTGGTTAGAATTAGGACCTACATTTGAGAAGGTAAATACTCCTCACCATTGGTAGGTGGTTATTCCAGAGGGGAGCTTAAAAGGAACACTTTCCATTTGGCACAAGCTAATCAAAAAGATGTACCACTGCAACAATGAAAGTGGATTCAAGTGAAATAGACCATCAGGGAAGAAGAAGCTTCTAATACTGTTGGTTTTTTTTAAAAATATATATTGTAAGCTGCCTTAGGTTCTTTTGAGGTGCAAGACAGGGGTATAAATATTTTGAATGAATGAATGAGAAAACCCAGTCAAGGTTCAGCACCAGGAGGAAGAACCTTCAGCAAAAGGATACAGAGGAATACTGTCCTTCACCACACACAGTGAGGAACTGGTTTATTTAAATAGAGCAGCTGGAAGAAAGAACTATCATAGAGGCTGGACTAAGGACAGTCATGATGAAATATTTCTAGAGTGGATGAATCTCAAAATCAGTTGCAAGTGGAAAGAAGCATTTAAGGGAATAAAGGTTAGAAAAATTGCTGGTTCAGGGACAAAAGCAAAAGGGGAAGAGTCAAGACATAGAGGGCTTAGCAATTGATTTCTACAAGAAGTTAATAAACAGTTTTTCACTTTTTCCAGTTTTGTGAGTTCTTAGTGGAAGATACCCAAAGGTTTGGGATAACAAGAAAGTTAGCAGATAGATAAAGCTACTGGGTAACTGGGAAAAGTCAGTCAGCCCAGGCAAAATGTTATAATGAGAATGAATGTTTTTCCTCTCATATATCACTGTGAAATAAAATCAAGATAACTCAAGATCCATCAGAAGGGTTAGGAAAATGGCAAGCTTGAGAATGAAAGTGATTTAAGGGTCCATTTGCTACTCTTTTGTCACAAAACTCTTATGGAACTTCGCCAGCAAACAAAAGAGAGAAAAATCTGATCACTGTGAAGGAAGAACATTGCAACTGATTGTGATTGAAGAGTGAGCTTTTAACCTTTAAATATCCAAGCTCCCCAGGTCAAAACTGATATGGAGTGACACTAAAAATAAGATTTTATAATCCACCAAGTTTCTGTGCAAAATAGATCAATCAGCTCAGCTCCAAGGGTCACAAAAACCACCATCTCAGTCCATACTAACTAAACACCTTGGTTGTGAAGTCTAAACCAAGGCAGGATGGACACTCAACTAACCTCTGATTCTTAGTGGTGGTCCCTCCAGGTCAGGGTTTAGGCAAACTGAGACATTGCACGGCCTCTTCCCATGCTGCATTTGTTCTGCGGATAAATAGAGAACTTCAGTTCCCACAAGCATCCATTGTAAGTCTGCCATCACCACCAGCACTAAAGCCACCACCACAGGATCACGCCAACATAGACACCACACACATATACAACAGCTAGGAACAAATAGCTAAAGCAAAGCAGCTAGAAAAAGGGCAAAATTACAGAGCCAAAAGAAGATGCTTATACCAGGCCAGACTATTTGTCTGCACAACTTTAGACTGTATGCTCTGAACTGAAGTGACCTCCAGGGTCTTAGGCAAGATGTTCCAACATTTTGCTGCATGACCATCACAGCTAAGAATAGCAGGGACAAAGCAAGGCAATTTTTCTGCCATCAAGCTATGCTCCTTCCCCAGACAATCACCCCGTTTTTTATTTAGTAAACTCTTAAATTTAGCATAAGACTTTTTGAAATCTCAGCAGTTGCATAAAAGCCTACTGATTGTGTGAAATTTTAAGTTCTTCAGACCTTTAGTTCAGGGCTTCTGTCACATCTACTGAAGTGGATTGATTATTATTCTTTTAAATCACTTAGCAAGTTGGGAGATTAGGAAACAATTTAGCAGGAATGGAAGATGATGCCAAGAGTTGCAGTGGAAGGCAATGATGAAGCACATCACAAAGGAACAACAAAGACGGTCACTATGAGGGCACAGATGTTGATATACACAGCGAAATGTGCAGTACAGAAAGAGATCACACACTTTGAAATGAACGGTGAGAAAAAGAAGGCCTCGGCTCCATTGGATCATCTCTTCAAAATGGAGGAATATTTCTGAATTAGTGATTCTGAATTGGAGGAAGAAAATGTGGGTGAACAGAGGAAATATGGCCACCCAGAGAATACCAGGACAAAGGCATCCTAAGGATACCATGAGCTTCCCAACAGGAAGTTTGGTTATGTAACCTAAACAAAAGGAAAGACATTAGGAGTCATGTTAATATTACTTGTTGATGATATACGTAATGTTTAACCCTCTAATTCTATTTGTCTTCATCTCATCCATGTGAGATGAGAGAATTCACTATCCATTTTGCAAACCAGAAATGGAACCTAAGGAAGAGTGCTTTTTCTTAGGCAACACAAAAGAGATATGTGTTTGAAGGAACCCTCGTATACACCTCCAAGCTCAAGCTGCTCGAATCAAAGATCAACAATCTTTGATTCCGACTCCCACACTGAAGATTCTGGGAGCTGTGTTCCCAAAATTATGGCCAACACTTAAAAAGTCTTGCATCACCATTCAGACACCAACACTCATGTTAATCTACTCACACCCATCCCACATTGCAGTGCCACCTTTACGAGTAACAGGTTGCTTCATACTGTGGCATGATGACTGAGGATGTGATTGGACAGCTGCAAAGTCACATGGCTGGTCACACCAGGAAGAGTCACTTTAACAGGAACAACCTTCCTTAAAGCAAACCTTCCATCTGCCAGACAATCGCTCCAGTCTGGCCCCAACAACTAAATATCCCAATCTTGGACCACATATCACCAGGAAATATATTGCACTAGACTGCTTCACAAGCTGTCTAAATTGTGATCTGTTTCTCCATGTGATTACATCCTGAATTCCACCTTGGAAGATGGGTAATACATAAAGTATTGAGAGAGCTTTATAATATTCCCTGGGAGGTCCATTCCCTCCCCACAAAACCAGCCCAGTCCACTCACCGGGCTCCACGAACAATTTATATTTTTTGCATAATGATCAGTTCACTAACTGCCACTTTATCATGTCTAATTTTGTAATCTGTTCGTGTAATCTTTGGACATTCACAGATGAGGTGTGATACAGTTTCATCTTTTTCTTGGCAGAGTCGACATTTCCTGTTAGCGCTAATTCATGTTAGCACCCCTCCATGGGCACAGGCCTTGTTGAGGTGGAGGGGCTAGCATACCTCAATGAGGTTGAGAGCTATGCTGAAGGGTCTCCCAAGCCAGACAGGCCTCCGCTGAGAAGCCAGACCAACTGTGCCACCCAACCATCAATTATGATGAGAGAAAATAAACAGAAATCCGTACGAGATTGGTTGTCGCCCAGGTCAACAAGGACTGTGGCAGATGCTATTGTCCCTGGACATCTGGTAACAAATGGGCTACATGGCTCAGTAGACCCTGTTGAGGGACCAGGACAGGCTGCTGCAAAGCTACTGGAACAAACAATGTAAATGCAAAACTTGAACTCTTGCCAAAAACGGGGGATTCTTCTTCTTCTTCTTCTTCTTCTTCTTCTTCTTCTTCTTCTTCTTCTTCTATTGTTATTGATAATAATAATAGCAACAATAATAACAATAAAAATAAAAATAAAATTTCAAAAAAATGAAGATTCTTTGCATCTGTATCCAACTAGATTTGCCCCTCCCAGGGATGAGAAACTACACAGACTGTAAAATAATGTATGTCTAGAAATGAACAGAAATCTAAACTTTATTGTCAGTCAAACATTCATTCTAAGTCTTAGGTGTCAACTAATCTGATAACAGGAACATATCTCTAGCTTTCTGTTACTGAAATTCCCCTGGTTCTTCTAGCTTCATTATGGAAGTCCCAGGATGCCTCATTTTGGCAGTAACTACAGTGAAACATCTGGTGTTTGTAATGTGCCAGAAAGTATCATTCTGTAGAATCATTAGTGCAGCAGGACGTTCTTAGGATTTATATAAGTAGGGGAGAATGATGGAGCGAGCCAAACATTTTAATAAACATTTGTAAAGATTACTAGAGAAAACCTAATTTATATATTTTCATACTAATGTATCTTTATTTCATTTTAAATCAGTACACAAAAACTTGAATAAAACAGAGGATTCCATAATAACATGGCACAATGTAGTGGATGCTGGTAATTCTAGTTTCATGGGCTGGTAGATCTGCTCTGGATGTTAGTCTAAACTTTATACAAGCTCACCAAGGTGCTGAATATAATCTGAGTGCAGGGTTTAAGACCTTGAATAGTCAGGTAAAATTCAGATTGAAAAATGGATTGGATTTACCACCCCTGCAAATCTTGATTCTCTACTATATGAACTAGTGTAGGGTAGACATACTTCAGTCTGTGTTTTTTTTTCACTAGACCATAGTCTCTGTGGGTAGCTATCTGCTAAGAATTAAGGAACAGGGTGCCTTAGACCATATCTTCAGTCCAGGAATTGGTGATCATTAACAAGTGACTAAGCTCACAAGACCTCATATCCAAAATTTTTATTCCTGTTTTTTTCCTTAAACATTCAGCCTAATTGTAGGAGAAAAAGCTCTGCTATGATTAGACAATATAGAGTCAGAAACTCTTACTGATCTACTGTACATAACCCAGAGATGAACAAGTAGATTTTGCTCTTGTTTTTGCCCACCTCCAATTGTATGGACCATCCAACTCCATACTAGATAAACAGAGGCTAGGAATTTGTCAATCCCCAGATAGATGCTGAACAATAACTCCCATAAACTCTGACTACTGGCCATGGTGGTTAGAGTTGAAGGAAGCTGGAAGTTCTACAACATTTAAAAAGACACAAGCTGCCTAGTCAGATGGCGAAGTGCTGTTTATATTCCTCTTAAAACATCTCATAGCTCTTTGATACCCAAGCAGATAAATCAAGAAGCTATGGGAGATTATGATGATTACTTCTTCCATAAGGGACGTGGTGGCACTGTGGGCTAAACCGCAGAAGCCTGTGCTGCAGGGTCAGAAGACCAAGCAGTCGTAAGATCGAATCCACGCGACGGAGTGAGCTCCCGTCGCTTGTCCCAGCTCCCGCCAACCTAGCGGTTCGAAAGCATGCAAATGCAAGTAGATCAATAGGGACCACCTCGGTGGGAAGGTAACAGCGTTCCGTGTCTAGGTTGCACTGGCCATGTGACCACGGAAGATTGTCTTTGGACAAACGCTGGCTCTATGGCTTGGAAACGGGGATGAGCACCGCCCCCTAGAGTCGAACACGACTGGACAAAAATTGTCAAGGGGAACCTTTACCTTTACCTTTACCTTTACTTCTTCCATGGTCCTCAAGGAATAATTTTTTCAAGCTGCATATAAATAATGTGTTGGAGACATACCGATCTGAGTTCTAAAGCTTGAGGCTAAATCCAATTCCTAGGCACAGTCATGGAAACACATTCAATGAATGGGACTTGTTATGTCAAGACTTACATAAATCCAATTGATTCAATGGGATTCAATACTTTATTTGGGACTAGCAATTGGATTTAGTCATTTGTTTCCAAGGACCAAATGAGACAGGAAGAAGGATGTTGAGCCCTCAACATTCTCCTCACTCCAAATTCCATGTACAGAAGCAAACGTGGAGTGATGATATCATACCATCCTCCACTGCATCTAAGTGCAGCAGGCTGAGTAAAGGCTTGTACAACTCACAGTGGAGCATGCCTAACTCTGAACTCAGCAGGATTTTCTTGCTATCCCCAGCATCTACCTCCTGAGGAGCTGTCACAATCTGGCTCAGCCCCGGAGGACCTTCATTAACAGGACTTCCATTTGCTTAAAAGAAGAGTGATAGCCCCCACCAGGAAATGTCTAAATGGTATGATAAGTAAATAGCAATGGGAGGGAATGGTTCCTGTTAGGAAAAAAGTGCAGAATGGAAAGAATTAATCTAGGCCCAGACTGAATCACAGACACAGACACTGCAGCTTTATTTATTTATTTAACTTATATGCCACCCACACTACTCAATGGTCTCTGGTGACTTACAACAATTAAAATACAGTAAAAAAGATAAAACAATTAAAATCCAATTAAAATATATACAGGACTCTAAAAATTGCCATTAGGACCCACAACTGATACCTGGAACCGAAATGTCATCAGTGTTGGCACCAGACGAATCTCAATTGGAATGGCATTCCATAGTTTGGGGGCAGCTGTCGAAAAGGCCCTTTGTCTACAAGCCGTCCCTCTTACCTCCTTAAGGGAAGGATCTTTCAAAGGGGCCCCCTGGCTAGATCTTAACTGCCAGGTAGGCTCATATGGAAGGAGGTCATCCTTCAGGTATCCAACCCAATTGAAATGGATCCAGAAAATCCGTTTCATCCAGCAGCGCCTGGAGTTGCCCGACCACAACCCGCTCCAATACCTTGCCCAAATAAGGGAGGTTCGCCACTGGTTGGTAGTTAACCACCAGCCTTGGGTCCAGGTTAGGCTTTTTTAGGAGTGGCCGAATTACTGTCTCTTTCAAGGTGGTAGGGACAACTCCCTCTCTCAACGAGGCATTCATGGCCTTCTGGACCCAGGTGCAAACCCCCCTGGCAGATCTTCCAATTAGCCAAGGTGGGCAAGGGTCGAGTGGAGTAATGGTAGAACAGACAGATCCAAGCACCCTGTCCACATCCTCAGGTCTCAACAGCTGAAGCTCATCCATTAATTCTTGACCTAAGCACGACACACTGGACACATCCTCTGATTCTGCAGTAATGGTGGAGTCCAACCCACCGCGAATCTGATTGATTCAGGATTACCCAAGACTGATAGATCCTCTTGACAGGACACCCTCATCCTCTCCTTTTTCTATACACACACTGTGTAGTTAAACAGCAGAATTTGCTAAGAATAACTGGACTGATGGTCATCTACTTGAAAGACTTTAAAAGCAGATTATGCAACCGAGTCAAGTATATACAGTGGTGCCTCGACTTATGACCATCCTGACATACGACCATTTTGAGTTGCGACGAGCTCTGGATGCAAAATTTTGCTTCAACTTGCAGCCGGAGCTTCAAGTTGCGATCAAAAGAAGCAGGGAAAAAGGTGGGGAATTCAAATTAGAGGGCTAACCATTGGTCGGTGAAGAGCTTCTTTGTAGCACTTTTGTCCCAACGGTTAGAATGTGTGCATTTGCAGAGAGGCTTCAGATTGCCTGGTGCTGCTTTCTGCTTCTGGGTAGGGTTGCCAGATACATATGTATGAAAAGGAGGACATAGGGGTAGAGATAAAAAAGCTGGACATTTTGAAGTTTTTTAGTTTTGCCTGCCGGATGGAGGACATGCTCCTCAAAAGTAGGACATGTCCTCCTTTTGCCAGACTTCTGGCAACCCTACTTCTGGGTGAGTACATTTACAGGGTTTTGCAGGGTGGGTTTGGGCTGGAGCGGTTATGTTTCTGTGCTGTGAAGTTTTTTTGTGTTTTTGTGTGTTTATTTTTTCAGCCTCAGTGCCTTCCGAAGCAGCTTGCTGTGTTGTTTATTTTTGGGTGTTTTTTTAAAAGCTCCAGCGACGGAGCTTGCTGTGTGCTTTATTTCTGGTTGTTGTTTTTTTAAGCCCCAGCAATGGAGCTTGCTGTGTGCTTTATTTTTGGTTTTGTTTTGTTTTTTTAAAGCCCCAGCGCCTTCCAACAGGGCTTGCTGTGTGCTTTTTTGTTGTTGTTTTGCCAGAACGGATCATCGCATTCCAATACATTTCAATGGGAAATGGTGCTTCAGCTTATGACCATTTCAAGTTATGTCCATCTTCTGGAATGGATTATGGTCTTAAGTTGAGGCGCCACTGTACTACTTTCAGGATCAGAGGCCACGTGTCCCTGAATACCAGTTGCTGGGAAAATGAGTAAGAAGACCATATTGTGCTCCATGTCCTGCTCATGGGACAGTGGTGGTAGGGCATTCCACCCACGTGACCCACAAAATTATCCAAGGGATGGAAGGGCACATTAGGAAACCTCGAGGAGGATGGCTAAAGAAAAATTTACAAGCCCTTGTTCCAGAGATACATGTGGTGGTCCAGCTTAAGTAGTCAAATACCCATGGAAACTAGGAAGCTGGGCAGGAGTGTAACAAAGCCCTGCTGTTCACATTCTTCATATCACTGAACCACCCTCAAAATAAAAATGGGTACCTTGACAAAATGATTATAGTTTGGCTGCTGATTTGGTATTAAGCCAGGCTTCTTTCCCACAGTGAACAATTTTACAATACCAGCTCTACAACAGCAAGCAGCCACAGATAGGTTTATGGAACAAACATTACAGAAGAGAAATACAGATATATATAAACCTACCAGTATCCCAAGTGCTAATGTTGTGAGGAGCACTTGACTGGTGTTCCAGTTGCCTCTTCATGAGTTGGTTCATGGTCAGTGCTCCCAAGGAACCCCTTTTCATCTGTCGGAACTGATCTAAAATTAAACAGCACACTTCACTAGTCATACAATTTCCAATATTGTCTAGCCATCGCTGTTTTCCCAACCTGAGCATTGGCTTCCTTGTTTTATGCTTCTTAATTAAGCTCAGATGGCTTACTCAAGAGAGTAAGTTGTAGTTTAGCAACACATGCATAAGTTGCATGTTCAAATGTGCACATCAAGTCCATGCGGTTGAATCTAGTGGACCTTGTCTGTTAGCAGAATGGACACTGACAGAAGAATGAGTTCCTCTTATCATGGAGCTTCTCTGCTTGGCCCTAAGAACACTAGAGAGTTCAGGGACCCTCTCAGAGTGATGGGCACAGCAAAGAGGATTGGTGAAATCTATTGCTCATGTAGAAATCCACTCATGGGAAGTAGGTCTGTACAACTGGGAAAGCTCCTGGGAGAACAGATTCTGCTATTCAGGTTCAACAACATTAGACTGTCTTTGGTTGACAGTATCTATTTGGAAGTCACAGTAGAACAATGGGAATAAGCTGCTCAGAAAACCAACCACAGCATAATCTCTGCATATAGCAAGTAGGTCTGGGTGAGAAATAGAGGTGGATCGCCTGTAAGTTTCATGGCATTGTACTGACTTCAACCTGCATCTGCCAGGTGCCAATCCAACATCCTCACCCACAGACCACACTGGTACTCATCAATGCACACAGAAAAGTAACATTTATACTCTCATAATTTTAATTAGTGCTAAGAATGGCTCAGTGAGTTGGATACCCAGCTTGGAGCTAGAGGTCAAGAATTCAGTTCCCTACTTTGCCTTCCAGGAGAATAAGCAGCCTATGCAGCCTTGAGCAATGTCTCCATAATAAGGCAATGGTAGGCCACTTCTGAGTACTCTGTGACAACTCTGGAAAGAGGAGCTTTAAGTTGGAATCAACTTGAGGGCATGTCATTACGGTATTATGGTAGGGGAACAGCTGCCATGTGGATTTCTCCCAAACTGACAAATGAAGACAAAGAGGAAGCCAAATTTCTTGAGATTTCCCTCAGATGTTCTTGAAAAACTTCCCTAGAGTGCATGTTTGAAGAAGGCAAATGTTCACACAGTGGACTAGCGTTCAAAAGTCATTAGGCAGATACAAAGTCATCCCAACATTTGGAACAATTTCAAGTGCATCTCAGCAAAATGAGTGTGAGTGCTGGTGAATGTCACATTGAAATCATTTTAAATGTATTTCCTTGTGAAGGGCTGCCCTCCTCTGCACAGAGACAGAGCTCTCCTTCTGCACTCTGGAGCACTTTGAAAATATTAGTTTGATCCAGCGACAACGCAATTATCCAGCCTCAATGAGCTGCTGGAACAGATGCAAATTCCATTTTCCATTCAGTATTTTCCTTTACATAAAAAAGATGGTTCTACAGCAGGAGCCATTCACATCAAACTTAGGAGAAAACATAATTTCCATCTTCTTTAACACTATGCCCTAAAATAAAGGCTTTATCAGTTTATCAGACACGGAATTTCCCGATGAAAGAGTAGTAATTAAAATTTCAGAGAGGACAATACAGCTTGAAATATAGATGGCTGTTAAAAACATAGAAAATTGGTTGTTTTGAACTTCTTAGCTTTTATAATGGAAATTAAAGATGCTCTCAGGCACATTTCTAGTTATCAAAGCACTGGTTTGAGGTTTTCTGAGTGTTGTTTATCTGATTTCTCAAGGACAACTTTGTTTTTAAATCATGAAGTTGGGGAGTGAGATGTTATTGAAACTAGTCTCAACTATTTGAGGCCCAGGTGGGCCAGCAGAAAACAGTATTCAGCTTTCTGATTAAACTATTTTTCCCACAGAATATTTATTTTCCCTCTATCAACAACTTTTCAAAACAAGCTCTTTCCATTGGGATGTTACTTTTAATGACTAAACATCTCCCTTCCAACATGAAGAGCTCTAGTTTTCTTGGGCATCATATCCCAGCTATTAGAGTAGACCTTTGGTCTAGATGGGCAGGATAGAAATCCAATCAATCACTCAATCAATCAATCAAACAATCAATCAATCATTCAATCAATCAATCAAACAATCAATCAATCATTCAATCAATCAATCAAACAATCAATCAATCATTCAATCAATCAATCAAACAATCAATCAATCATATTAGGAACCAGGGCCAAAAAACGTAGGTACCGTATTTTTCGCTCCATAAGATGCACTTCCCCCCCCAAAAAAAAGTATGGGTCTTATGGAGAGAATACAATAAAAAAAGGGTTCAGCCACCACCGCCCAGAAGCCTCCCACTGCAATGCTGGGAAGCCTCTGAACTGGCACCAGAAGCTGCTTGCTGTGGCAGGCACATTGGACCTCACCACTCTGCCATCTGCACTGCTGGCTTTCCAGGATCAAGTTGATTTTCCCACATTTGGGGAAATCACAGGGATCAGCACATCCAAAGTGCAATAGATGAGCCTTACCCTGGGAAAACCACTTTTATGATCATGGTATCTCCCCTGCCAGGTACAGTGGGGTCTCGACTTACGAACTTAATCCGTATTGGAAGGCAGTTCTCAGGTCGAAAAGTTCGTAAGTCGAATCTTCATTTCCCATAGGAATGCATTGAAAACCACTTAATCCGTATCTGCTCTTTTCGTCCATAGAAACTAATGGGAAGCTGCTATTCCGCCTTCTGCCACTAGAGGGGGATATTTTTTCTTTTTTTCCTTTTAACCTAAGATGACTTAGCTTTAAAAAAAAGGAAAAAAAGAGTTCGTAACTCGAATCTAAGTTCGCAAGTCGAGTCCATATATTCCTATGAGAGCGGTTCATAAGTCTAAACGTTCGTATGTCAAGCCGTTCGTAAGTCGAGACCCCACTGTATGAGTTGGAATGGCCCCTGTACCTCCTGCCCCTTTTTGTGCCCTATCCCCCAAAGGCATGGTGGTCCTCCCAGCTGCACCTCCTGATGAGAACAGGGCTGCACAGCCCCAATCCCGAAAGAGGCCAAGAGAGCTAATCAGTGTTTTGTGGTGCCTCACAGGACCCCCATCAGGGGCTGGGAGTTCCTTCCACACTCCTCCAGTGCACAGATATTAGCATACCTAATATGCGGGGAAGGCAGGGAAAGCAGGAAATTCAAACTTTCAGTTAGTGAAGAGGCTGCTTGTCTGCTTCCTTGCTAGTCCAAGCAGTTAGAGAGCTGGGAGAGAGACCTGGGACTGCCTGGTATTGTCATTTTAAAATGTAAAATTTAGTTTAATAGCTGTTTATTTGGGGTTAGTGCTTGCATGAAAAGGTGCTCCATTTGAGTTGAAACCTGCTTGTGTAGAAACATGCATGCTTGCTTTAAAAGGTGCTTGTTTTGGGTTAAACCGTATTTGGGTGAAAAGGTGCTCCTTTTGAGTTGAAACCTGCTTGTGTAGAAATGTGCATACCGGTACTTGCTTTAAAAGCTGCCTGGGAAGCCTTTCAGACCAGCGCC